TGATTTACTTTTTACCGTTCTGAAGAATATTTTTGTATTTAATCTTCACTTGCTGCCAGGAACTTTTCGTTCCACTGATGTTGCTCCTGAAACCAAGCATTATTAATAATTACAATTATATATCACTTTTTGTCTAAGATGGACCCATATAATTAACACGCTGTCCTGTTTATGTGTTAAAATAGCCTTAAAGTACCTTACAACTGGTAACAAAATACATATGTAAAAGGAAATATTGTGACTACATTTTGAAGGCTTGAAACTGTTCTCATTTAGTTGTTAAATATTTTTACATCCTTAACACAAAGGTTACTTAAATCATGTTCTTACGCATTTAACCTGTCAGCTATTTTCTGCCATGCAGCCTCACGAGATTTGATGATGCAGCTCGTGTTCCCCTTTGTAGTCTTTGTAGTTCTCATAGGCTTGCAGTAATAATTCTTGCTCCGCCTGGAGGAAAAAACGCAGCTCATTCCTTTCCTTCCATTCTTACTTATCCAGCATCGATTAACAAGGCTGCCTTTTATATGGCTTGGACGCGCACGAGCCTCGCTTGTCAAGCTTGGCTTGAATAGGCGGAAATTAAATACACCTGAATTTTGTTCGTGGAACTCAATGAGCCTGAAGTGAACTGTTAGGCTAACTCAAGCGAGGCTATTACAAATAATCCTCGATTTTATAAGCTTGCTTCCTGGAACAGCCCCCAGATTTTACCATTAAACTCAATGTCTATTTACTTTAAAGTGAGTCCATTGCCCTGTTTTTGTTAATCTGACACTTGTTTCCTGTGTTGGTGCACTAATTTGATACTGATGCTCTGGTGAACAGATACTGTTGTGGCTCAGTGGCGTTTCTATTTATTGTAATGTCACCTTTTTGAAAGCTATTTTATTCCACTTAACCTTTCTCTCTTTTTATTCATTTTTCAATTTATATTATTATTTAAATTATTATATTATTTATTTAAATCTTGCTTTCGGTAGCTTGTTTTCGGTCCCTTGCTTAAAATGGTAGCTGAACGAACATACTATTATGTCCTACTTAATTATCACAGCTTTCTGAATTTTTGGTAGGTTCACAGCAGACCTGGACAAAAGCCATCTTGCGGGCCATATTCAGCCCAAAGAACTATTTTTATGTGGCCTATAATCATTTAAAAAGTGAACTGTGGAGATTAACATTTTTTCGTTCATGAGAGTTTTACTTACACAAAAAAGTGCTGAGGGCAGAAGGCACAATGATTGGTTCAGACAGATAACCAATCAGAATGTAAAGGAGGTGGGTCCAAGCAACTGGAGGCAGCAGGGCCAAGGCATCTGATGGGTTGGTCCCACCTCCTCTAGTAGCTTGGCCCCGCCTCTTGTACAGTGTAATTTCATTGGTTATCTCCTTGGAAAAATAATCGTTCCTTCTGCCCTCAGAAAAGAGCGATTTTTGTTCCCACAAATCGTTTTTTGGATTGATGATAAAAGTATAAGTAAAAACCCATTAAAAATGGCCAATGCTGACATGGAGAAGCTCAGATTTGGTTCTTGGCAGAGACAAATTTCCATGGCCTCATCTTCAGCATGGTTTCGATTGAGCAGCTCATGCTGGGAGAACTGTCATGTTCATTTCACAGCTCTTTAGAAGATTACGAAATCATCTTTACTAACAGCTTTTTTTTATAACAAATGTCAAATGCAAATATAGAAAAAGGAAATGTTTTTTTTTTTTCCATTGTTATCTTTGAAATCCATTTAATTATAGATGTATCTAGTATAATACCATTACATCAAGAATGTCATTCCGGCTTATTTGTGTCGCTTCTCTCAACTGATCTGTTATGTAAGTGAGTACAGTGTCGCTACTGTGATTAATTATCCCTCTCATAGGCTGTAATAAAGAAGGTCCCAAATATAATCCAAATAATATATAATTGGACGATGGATTACTTGCGAGACCATATGATCAGCTGGATAATGCAGCGGGGTGGCTGGGTGAGATGAAGTTCTCGGCACATTTGGTTTTATGGCACGTGGCTGGAATGCGTTACCACATCTTATGTCTCTGTTCAATACCGACCCATTTTTGGACTAGTTGAATCAGTGTTCAGGATGTGGCTGATGACAGATGTTGCCCTTATTTCATGCAGGAGGATGTCAGGTCCTACTTTGGGACGCCCACAAGGCAAATGATGGGGGTGTTTGTGGCTGGCATCCTCACTGCATTCCTGGTCATTCACAAGATGTGATGCTAAGGCATGGAGGAGTTGGCCAGGATGGGACCACTCTTTGGAAAAAGGGAGTGTGAGAGGTTCCCAGAAACATTTTGAAATCAATACTCAAAGGTCCCAGGGGAAGTGCACTAGCTCGGCACCCATCCAGGTTGTATTATAGCGTCTTAGATTGCTATTTTGGGTTATTTATTAACAAGTAAAGAAACACTTAGGAGAACGAGAGGGAGGAGGTCTCGATTGAACTTCTGGAATAATTAAGCAAGGTAGGGACTGACGTCTCATGAACAATACAAATAGCTTTCACCTCAAGTATGTAACATAACGTATCACCNAAGGCATGGAGGAGTTGGCCAGGATGGGACCACTCTTTGGAAGAATGTAGGAATTGACCTATCATGAACAATAGCAATCTGTTAGACCTCAAGTATGTCACTTACAATACTGTGTATAAGTCTTAGGCAGTCAAAGAAAATGTTTAAATGGTCTTCAAGTTGGTATACAACTATGACATGTCTGTAAAAGAATTAATTTAGTAATTTCAAAACCTCTGCTAAAATCAGCCCAGTATTTTCAGCATCCAAAACACTAATGTATTTTTTGACTGGATCACTACCCCACCTTGTTTGGGTAATCAATACCTCAAGTGATTTAACTAATTAAGTTAATTGTTTGAGCCAGGGATGAAATTTAATGAAGAGATGGAATAGCTGAGGTGCCCCTGAGGAGAGGTTTGGGAATCAAAGTAGAATTCTTCTAGCCATCCAACCAGATATCTGTAACTTAAAGTAATATGAGAGTGGAAATTCTTTTTTATTTCTTATTGTGTTGCTGTTAAATGGCATATATTCTAATGTCATGTTTTGTTTTATTGTTTTTTTCTGAGCAAATACTTACTACCCAAACAAATTGTCTTAAACATTTTCTTTACCACAGTACTGTATGTTGCATCACCTCTTCAGTAACAGCCCTGAAAATTGTACCTGCTACCTCTTTATCTCCAACCTCTCTAGCTACCTCTTATCCACATAATCTATTTCTCTACCTCTGCACCACATCAGTCCGCAATGCGTAAGGTGGCCAATGAAAAGGTGCTCCCTGTGTAAGTACACCTTCTGTAGGTTACCTTTAGTGTAGTGTAACTGTCTTGCATTATTGTGTTATATGATAGAGAGGTTGTATAGAAGTGCTTCACAGCAATGTACATAGCAAGATTGTAGATTGTGTTAAAATGCTACTACTGTATTTAGAGTACATAGTATACAGACTCTATGCTAATACTTTGTAAAGCAGTGTGTTTTTCTTTCTATTCAGTGTCTAGCTACTTTAAACAAGAAGTATGATTGTTTATACTAGTACTATACATTTTTTACCTTTCAGGTTTTGAAGTTTTCAAATAACCATTTTTACAATAATAACATTAGTATAGTGTTTTAGACAATTCAAATTATAACGTGCTATAGGAAAGAGTAATTGTAACTAGTTTGACTTGAAAAGGGCTCTATAACACTTACATTTTCCTCAGATATTTGCTGTAAAGAATCAGAACTTTGACAAATATTTAATTTATGTTTAATGTAGGTTTTTGGAATAATATATGAGATATTAATATTTTAGTGTTTTCTGCAGTCCTTTCTTCATTGAGTTTCAGTGTTCTGGATATGGAGTCTAAACGGAGCAGTAAATTTGAAATATATAAAACATATAGTGTACAAATATACAGTTATTGTGACTTTTAATATTTATTGGTTATGTCATTTTTTACATTAAGTTTTAATTTGGTGGTACCTCATTATAAATACCTTGAGTAATCGTATCAAGCTGGTTTTTTCTAAAGGTTGAAAGTGTACTTGATTGTGTATTTAATATTGGTCCTTTGATAAGACTGGGCGATTACTGCACATAAACCCTAAATCGGTATTCCATGCTTTGGGAATAGATACATTAACTAGAACAGCTGCTTTGTGAATGCATGAGAGATCTCTTCTTATATATATATATATGTGTGTGTGTGTGTGTGTGTGTATATATATATATATGTATATATATGTAGTTTCATTCAAATTGTCGACAATATGAATTGTGATCAAAATATATATATTTTTTATATAATAAGTGATGTCCCCTCCCTTTGCTGCATACCATCCGAGACAAAGTGCAAAGAGAAGTTTGCCAATGGGGCGCCGGTGCTGAAGGACAACTTCAATAGAGAGAAAGGGGACAAGTATAGGCTACAGAAAATAGCAATTAACTGTGAATTTGTTTTGGTGAATGTAGTAGATGTATCTTATGTATATGTACTTGCCTATTAAGCTTTTTCTGTTTTATACCAACAACAATGCTGGATATTGCCACTGTGTTGGATTTTTAGTTCAGTTTGACAGCATCTTAACTTTTCATTAGTTTATAATCTTTAATATGATCTCTCTACAGGCCACAAGGTGGCAACATATGGATGTGTATTTCAATTACATGCTAAATATGTCTGCGTTTAGCTGGTGTTTCTGGTAATTGTATAATGCGTGTGAATTTATGTTATGGCTTATAAAACCAGAAGCTTTAGTCCAGGAATTCAACTATTGCTGTTCTATAAATTATAAATATGAGAAATGCATATGTTTATTAAATGTGTATGTTCATAATAATGATCATTATCATTGTGATTCTGTGGTTTGCTTCATTGCTATTGTGTATACTACTTTTAAGTTGATCTCAAAAGACTGTTTTTTTGTTTTTTTTTTAATGTTGATGCTCAGGGCTTTTTAATGTTTACTCAGTCGCCACTTTATTAGGTACGCCTAGCTAATACTGTTTAGGACCCTCTTTTACCACCAGAACTACTCAAAAGTGGATGAGTTTGTGTTTAGTGTGTTTGCGGAAATCATTTTGCACACATCAGTACTGTGTTATTAATTTTGCACTTGTTGCCTTCCTGTTAGCTTTATAGAGTCAGAGAAGAAAGGCCAGACCTCGGAAATGCCAGGGGTGGCATGTTTTTTTTTTCTTCTCATCACGTGATTCTCTGTGAAATTCACACTTTAGTGTGTGAAAATCCCAGGACGTTTCTGAGATGCTGGAACTGATGTTTGGCACCAACAAGCATACCATGTTCAAAATTGCTTAGGTCAGGCATTTTAGCCGTGCTGATACTTAATTGAAAAGTAAGTGAGCCTCTTGACCAGGTCTGTGTGCTGCATGTATTCATTTGTTGAATGCGCATAACTGCTAAGTTTTTACTGGTGTGAGAGTTTGGGGAACATGTAAAAAGTGTATGACAAAAATCTGCTACAAAATAAGAAAACTATCAGGTTGAAGACACTGTCACAGGTTTAACAAGCTAAGAAGACCCAGGGTTTTTTTTTAAATGGTAATAAACAGAGCAAGGAAACTGCATAATTTTGGTTGTTATAGATGTTTGTCAGCTTTAATTTGTCATCTAGTACAGGTGCACATCTGAATCGCCATTACAGAGGACTGCCTTGGCAGACTGATCCGTCTGGCTTTACTTAGCATATAGTTGCCCGTGTTTGGGATGTGTTGACAGGGAATGAAAACGCCGTGTTCTACCTGTTTTTTTTCCCCATACACTCTTCAGCTTTCTCCATTTTAGCTGTATTCTGAGCCGTGTGTTTGGTTAGAAATGTTTAAAAGACACATTTGGCTTGGCCTATGCAGGGGCATTCCTCGGCTGATAGGCTCAGCCTTCATATGCTGTTTACTGCACCATTTGAAACCTTATATGCAACTCGGTCATTTAATGGATGTTATTTTCATATACATCAAGTGAAATGTGCATATGAGAAAGCTGGGGGGAAAAAAACATACCGGTCATCGACACTTTCATAACGATTAAGTTTGTTACAGTCGCACTGACATATATTGTATTTCTAATACAATAATCATTTTCTGATATATATGACATTTGAATGTGTGCATATACCAAAAAAATAGTGGAGGCATTTGTAATTATACATTCTGTTTAATGGGGATCTTGATAGTAACACTAAGACTTGACTAATTCAACTTGATAGATTTTCTTACTGTGATGCCATATATCTTAAAATAAAATATCCTTGTATGTGTATTATATCATGTACAGAATATCTGTTGAGAAAAATAATCTGATAATGCTGAAGGTTTACTATGCTGGCAGAAAAGATGAAACAAATGTGATATTCAAATGCCATGTTGCCGTGAGCCTTAGTGAAGGACTGGTGAACTTTAATAGTACTTTAATAGATGGACATTAAGTTCTGATGTATTACTGATGGGGTTTGTTGAACGGAAGTCTGATGCTAACAATAACTGTAAATTATGAGAAGCTTCTCAGTAATGTGTCTTGAGTTTCCTTCTGTGTTATATATGTCTGGAGTTTCCTTTTAAGGTATCTTGTGTAATGTTTAATTCTCCCCAACCCCCCCACCCCGCCCCCCCCCGTCTCTCCTACACTTGTACGGTTTTCGATTACCTTGTCATATGCATGATTTTTATTCCATTACATTCATTTGCTTTTTTCCAATGTAATGGAATCAATCTGGGTTGTTAAAAGAAACTGACCAGTAAAATATCTGAATGTTGTATTTTTTTTTAAATAAAGAGAAGAACATGATGCACAAAGTGAGAAGCTCTTGACTGATTTGCCACATAATTTATGTCACAATCTTTAATAGGAGTACAAGGGGCAGTTGCTCTAGTAGACGATCTATTTCTGTATCCACTTACAAGTGTTTGTCTACCTGTGCTTACATTTATGTATAACTGATAAAGCAGGGGTAGAGGCATGTGAGCGAATAGGCAGCAGGGCCTAAAAGGTGACACTTGAGAGGTGAAGGTTATCAGTAACTGACGTGATGAGCTGTGTGGTGGGGGGTGGAGGTCGAATTTCAGCATGACAGCGTTCCCGAAACTTTCAAGACAGAGTGTGGAAGTTGTGGCGGTGGGGGTTTGAAAACACTGACCTACAAACCACTGTAATTGGTCAGCACAAGTGTTCAGCATAAGTGTCCGGGGTGGGCATTCATCTGCTCCAGTGAGGTGTAGGGATCCACATATCCTGACAGTGGAAGGGGGGGGGGTTGTGATGTGGGACAGATGTATGAAGGCCATGTGTGGGACAGACAGACCGATGCCCAGAGGTGGGGGGGAGAGCTAGGCGCCATGCAGAGCTGTGGGGGAACAACATTAAACTCACATGCTGCTACAGTATGAAACTCCGACCAGTTCGGCGGACTGAATGACTGAGTGAGTTTCCCTTTTTTCTCAGCAACTTACAAGAAGCTCGTTTGAGTAGCTCTTTGAGCATGAATACTGTGTTCTTGAAAGTTAAAGCTAATTGTATACAGTTTAATGATGTTGAGAATAATATTAACATATGAGTGTTTGTGGTAATGATATTAATGTTTTCTTTTTGTTTCTCTGTCCCTAATAGGCACATTAAATCAAATACAGCTCATGTGAGGAGTGAAGTCCAATAGAGTAATTTGCCATTATTTGGTTGCATGCAGAGTTTTAGGGGGTCAGCTGTTTTGGTGGGTGGGTTATTAAAATGCTGCTGGGGGCAAAATGAAGAAATAGCATTTCTGTGAACAGCATATCCGTCCACCAGAGAGTGATGTCACTCTGTAGTGAGCCCTTCAAAAGCCACTGATATAACCTGTCAGAGCGTCTATTTGAGATGACATAAGCAAAGCAGACAGACGCTTATTGGGTGGACTTGACTGATTTGCCATATAATTTCCGTCACAATCTTTAATAGGAGTGCAAGGGGTGGTCGATCTAGTAGATGATTTATTTCTGTATCCACTTACAAGTGTTTGTCTACCTGTGCTTACATTTGCATGTACATGTATAACTGATAAAGCAGGGGTAGAGGCATGTGAGCAAGTGGGCAGCAGGTGAAGGTCGTCATGAACTATTATTTTTATCACCACTGATTGATATGTAAAAATTATACATGACAATATAGTTAATGTAGTTTTTATAGTTATAAATATGTTTGTTGTTTTTTGTTTCTCTCTTGTTTTAGAGTGGTTTTAGACCGTGAAACGTGTTTTTGTGTTTAATATCTGAGCACGTTGCACAAAAGACATTGAGGCCCAACAGGGAAAAGAAGAGATGGATGAGGGGAGTAGGAGTGGACAGGAGAGAGAGGTAGGAGGGATGGGTACTGACTGGAGCCAGGGGTCAGAGGAGATGCACAGCGGCGCAAACACAAGGAGCTTGGCCTTGAAGAATGACGAGGATAACAAGGGGGAAGGAGGAAAGGGCTGCCACTATGGGAACATGTGGAAGGGAGGGTGGATGCTGAACGAGAGACTGGCCATCAACGTGGCGGGTATGAGGTATGAGACTCAGCTTCGCACGCTGGCCCAGTTTCCAGACTCCTTGCTGGGGGACCCTCAGAGACGGCTGCGCTATTTTGACCCGCTGAGGAACGAGCTGTTCCTGGATCGGAACCGGGTCTGCTTTGACGCCATCCTCACTTACTACCAGTCGGGTGGACGCCTCCAGAGGCCCGCCGAGATCCCGGTGGATGTTTTCCTGGAGGAGCTTGAGTTCTACCAGCTGGGCGACGAGATCATGGAACGCTACAAGGATGAGGAGGGCTTCCCTAAAGAGGAAGTGCGCATTCTGCCCAAGGGCAAGATAGCAAGTAACGTGTGGAGTCTTTTCGAGTATCCCGACTCCTCACCATACGCCCGCATCATCACCATCTTCAGCATCATAATCATCGTTCTTTCAATCACCACTTTCTGCCTGGAGACAATACCTGAGCTGCAGATCCCCAAGTCACCACGCAAGGTGAGGGTTCAGGAGACATGGAGAGGAGCGCGGGAAAGGCGGGCAGGGAATTAGGGGGAAAGGGGGGGGCGATGGGATGGGGGGATAACCAGATTCCATACAGAAAGCATTAAGACTCATGCTAAGTTCAGAAACTTCCAGAATCGTTGTGGAATGTTTTTGGACAGAATCACAGTGTCACAATACGGAACAGTTATAGACGTCATACTGAAAGATAGAACCTGGATGCTGAGACAAACTGAAAAACTGGCAGCAGATTCACAGGCTAGTTCACTTAGCATAACACACAGTGTAGGGGCAGCACATCAGCAGAGTGGGGCATGAGAGCCAGCCGGTCCCCCGTTTTAACTGACGGGCCTCTGGTTTCCATATAATGTCACATGAAATGCGAGATATTAAACCTGTGGTCATTTTTTGGTCTTTTACAGTAGTGAAACCATGAATGTAGCATACTATATAATAACATTAAGCGATAAGTCAGCACCCTGTTCAATACCACTCATCAGAGTAGTATCTGAGACAGCTATAAATGTAGCTTTGCCTGCCTAGTCATCACTTGGAAAGGTGATGTAAGTCACCACGCATGGTGCTGTTGGGTATGTGGAAAAGTCTCATATGAAAATGCGTAACAGTGTAGCATATGATACATATATTAATATAATATATTAATATTATATATTATATATAATATGAATCACCACCTTATCGCTATGTTGTCTGGGGCAGTTGCCCCTAGTAGGGTCTCCCAAGGCAAACTGGTCCTAGCTGAGTGACCAGACTCAGTGAGGTTCACATAGACCCCTATGATCAATGACAATAAGGACCATGTTACCCTGCCTGAATTGGGAAGACCGGGGCCTCTCCCTGGAGCCAGGCCTGGGGCGGGAGTTTGAAGGCAAGCACCTGGTGGCCGGGCCTCCACCCATGGGGCCCAGCCAGGCATAGCCTGAAGGGGTAACATGGGTTCATCCACCTAAAGACCCACCACCTACAGGGGAAGCCGTGGGAGTCGAGTGCAATGTAGATCGGGTGCCAGTCAAAGGCAGGGTCCTTCGTGGACCGATCGTTGGCTACTGGCTCTTGGTATATGCAATGTAACCTCTCTGGTGGGAAAGGAGCCTGATCTGGGGTGGGGGTAGAGAGAAACTGACTAGATATAGTTGGGCTCATGTCAACACATGGCTCAGGCTCTAGAACTCCTGGAGAGAGGCTGAACTCTATTCCACTCTGGAGTTGCCCTTGGTGAGAGGCTCTGGGCAGGGGTGGGGCTACTTATAGCCCTCGGTTCAGTGCCAGTACATTGGAGTTTACCCCGGTGAATGAGAGAGTCGCCTCCCTTCGACTTTTAGCAGGGGAACGGGCTCTGACTGTTGTCTGTGCGTACCCACCGAACAGCAGTTCGGAGTATCCATATCTTCTTAGAGACCTTGCTGGGGGTCCTGGAAGGCGCCCATTCTGGGGACTCCATTGTTCTCCTGGGGAACTTTAACAGTTATATGGATAATGACAGTGAAACCTGGAAGGGTGTGATTGGGAAGAACGGCCTGCCTGACCTGAATCCATACGGTGATCATTTATTAGACTTGCTGAGTGTTTTGGACATTCATCCCAAGTGTGGGGGTGGGCATTGAGCCTGAATGGGCAATGTTCCGGGACTCCATTACTGAGATGACTGTCGGAGCTATAGCTGTAAGGTTGTTAGCGCCTGTTGTTGTGGCAGTCCCTCAGCCTGGTGGTGGACACCTGCGGTAAAGGGAGCTGTCAGGCTGAAGAATGAGGCCTTCAGAGCTTGGTTAGCTTGTGGGACTCCTGAAGCAGCTGACAGATACTGGCAGGCCAAGCAAAGTGTGGCTTTAGCAGTTACTGAAGCAAAAACTCAGGTGTGGGAGAAGCTTCATGAGGCTGTGGAGAAGGGCTTTCAGTCAGCCTCAAAAAGATTCTGGCAAACTGTCAGGCAACTCAGGAGGGGGAAGCAATGCTTTACCCATGCTGTTTACAGCAGGGATGGAGAACTGCTGACCTCAAATGAGGATATAGTCAGGCAGTGGAAAGAAAATTTTGAGGACCTCCTGAATCTCACTGATATGCCTTCCTTGGAGGAAGTCGAGCTGGAAGACTCAGAGGAGGGCTTGCCCATCTCTAGGGCTGAGGTCACTGAAGTAGTCAAACAACTCTTCAGTGGTAAGGCTATTGGGGTGGATGAGATTTGCCCTGAGTTCTCAGATCCAGGAGGAAAAATGGAGATTCCATCTAGAATGATAGAACAGCTCTTCACCCTCACAAGGATACTGACGGGTTCATGGGAGTTTGCCCAGCTTGTATACATGTGATTTGTGGACTAGGAAAAGGCATATGATCGTGTCCCTTGGGGGGTCCTGTAGGGGGTGTACCTGGAGTATAGAGTACGGGACCTGTTGCTGTGGCCATCATGTACCTGCATAAATCAAGCGAGAGTTTGCTTTACATTGCCAGCAATAATTCAGACTTCTTCCCAGTGAGTGTTGGAATCCCCCCCAGCTGAGTGTGAGGCGGCCAGGATGAGGATCAGTACTTCCAAGTCTGAGGCCATTGTTCCTGATTGGAAAAGGGTGGATTGCCTTCTCTTGGTGGGGCATGAGTTGCTGCCTCAAATGGAGGAGTTTAAGAATCTCAGGGTCTTGTTCACGAGTGAAGGAAGAAGGGAGCAAGAAATTGACAGAAGGATTGGTGCAGTGTCAGCAGTAATGCGGACACCATACTGTTCTGTTGTGGTGAAAAGGGAACTGAGCCAGAAGGCAAAGCTCTTGATTTACCGGTCGATCTATGTTCCTAGAGGTCATGAGCCCTCTGCCCCGAAAGAATGAGATCATGGATACAAGCGGCGAAAATGAGTTTCCTCTACGGGGTGTCTGGGCTTAACCTTAGAGATAGAGTGAGGAGCTTGGATCTACGGGATGGGCTCAAAGTAGAGCCGCTGCTCCTCTGCATTGAAAGGAACCGGTTGAGGTGAATCGGGCATCTATCTAGCATGCCTCCTGGACGGCTCCCTGGGGAGGTGTTTCAGGCATGTCCAGCTAGGAGGAGACCTCGGGGCAGGCCTGGGAGTACCTTGGTATTCCACTGGAAGAGCTGGAGGAGGTGGCTGGTGAGAGGGAGGTCTGGGCATCCCTACTTAGACTGCTGCCCCCACAACGTGACCCTGGATAAGTGGCAGGAAATGTTGAAATATTATTTTGACCTTTTCAGTGATAAAATAGGAGCAGCCATTGTCCTATTGTAATTAATATGTGTCACGCCCAGCTCCATACGATCCTCGTGTGTGCCACGCCCCCTCGTTACCTCGTGTTAATTCCTGATTGTGATCACCTGTGTCCTGTTATTTAGGCTAGTTTGATGTATATGAGTCCGCGTCTCCCACTGTCTCACAGATCCGTCATTGTATTGTCCTGATGTTCATTAATGTTTACCCGGATCCTTGAATAAACCACGTTTGTTCGCACTGACGGCTTCGCTCGCCTGTTTCCCCGCTTGCCTGCCTGCCGAACTGTGACAATATGAATGAACATATACATTTTTTGTATTACATAAGCAGTAAAGTCCATTAGAAAAAAGATTCAGCACAAATATTTCATCAGTGTTTTGTTAAATGAATGGCTCTATAACATAGGTGTCCAATCTTATCCAGAAAGGGCCGTTGTACAGTATATGCAGGTTTACGCTGCAACTCCCTAATTAGGTCACTAATTAGAGGACTGATTGGCTGAAGAGTTCTCACACCTGGGTTTGAACAGCTGACTTACAGGTTATCCCAAAAGCCTGCATACACACCGCCCCTTTGCGGATAACATTGCCCACCCATGCTCTATAATATTACACTTCTACATGACAACTTAGATTAATGTGAAGGTTAGGATTTGTTATAGTGGTTTCTGTTAAGTTCGATACACCTAGACAGAACAGGAGGTTCAGAGAAGACAGAGTGGACTGAATGCAAAGGCACACTCATGGGTGACAGATGAGGAAAAAGGAAAACAGAAAGGGGGCGGGAGGGTACATTGTGACATGTTTTTTACGCTTCCTAAATTCTGTTGTCCAACCAAGCCATTTAGGCCTAATAAGAAATGACTGCAACCTCATCCTAGCAAACACAGGTGATAGAGTTACAATGTGGGAGACAGCGAGCAGGGCTGGTGGC